CGATAATTTGATTGCTCTATGTTTTTGTAACTTGTGTAAACATTTATGCTTCACTTTAAATCTGACTTTCTTGAACTTCCTGAGACCCACTGCGCATGCCTGAGAGGTCAGAGAGGTCAACTAAATGAAAGCAAGCATGGCTGGGAATGACTGTGTAGTGGTAAGTGCCAATGTCACAACATGTTTAACAGACTTTCATTGGAAAATATTAACCAAAAATTAGAATCTAAATACTATTTCAGATATAATCTGTGCGTGTACTTGTTCAAAACATTTAGTTGATTTAAAGACTATCTAATTTCACTAATCAATGAATCGGTGACAGCTAAGTTGAAACTGGGGTGGAACCAGTCCTCAAGCCCAGCTTGCCTCTGTTGTTCGCCAAAAAAGAATCGATGAGCGACAGAGGCAAGCTGATAATAGGGATTATTTATTAGTGCACTTCCAATCTCAGGTAAGAGTCGAGCGATAAGCCAAGAGATCTGTGCTCCAAGTGTAGTGATAAAAAAGTGTCATTCGAGTACGTTTTGACGTACGATAATGTCATTGAGTCTACTAAAGTCACTCGGTGCTAAGTACTACTGCTAAGTACTACATTACTTTTGTGTCTGTCAGATCACATATTGTAGGCTTTTGTCTGATGGTGTATTTAACTGCTTTATTTCAGGAGTTTTTGAACTGTTAGCGATTTACTAGTATTTATTTACAATTATTTATTTGATTGTTAATTTATTTGTAATATACTGAGTAAATTTAATAAAGATATCCTGATTTAGCCATTATTAAATATCGTCATACACATAATCATGGTGCATAAATACACAAAATCGAACTTTAGAGATGCATATATAGAGTGTGAAGTGATCATAAACTGACTGTACCCAAGCTCTCCAGGAAATATAAGTAAACGTTAGAAACAGCAGCATCTGTGTAGATTTTCCAATTACTGAGATGCTAGTACAAAGAGACTCTGCAATGCAGGGTGACTGTACCTATTATAGTGAGGTATTTTGAGGTGTTTTTAACTGTCAGCTAAAGGAAATACAGTCATAAAAACCTAATCCATCATTCTGTTTGTGTTGAGAATACATTTATTTGAGAATTATTATGGTATGATATGATATTCCCCCCTCATACCCTCATCCTACCAACATCCCTCCCACCCACTCCTCTGGCATTCTCTCACACCCCACCCCACCCCACCCCAGCTCACTCCAACTCCCTGGGCATTCTCCAACACGCCCTCCACCCTCCACACACACACACACACACACACACACACACACACAGATACTTAATTATCATCATTCTGGATAAATTTATATAATATTATGTGAACCCTGGCACTGGGTTGCGTGTGATAATAGAAGGTATTTTCTGACTTTTAACATGACTTTTAACATTTTGAACTTTGTATTGGTGACATTTACTTTAAGACTTTCATACTATAAAAGTATGTGTTTGAGAACTTACTGCAGTCCTACTTTTACTAGACAAAACAACATGCAGTTGATACTGTGTGAACAGAAATCTGCATGGATTCAAATTTGTATTCCTTTCTGTTTGTATTACTCTCTTCATGATCAATTTCCTGCAGCCTGCTTTCATTATTGTACAAATTAAAATTTAACCTCAGACTAAGCTCATAACTGAAGCTTGAGATAAACACTGCATGTTTGACGTAATATTTGTTGACTTTTCAAAGATAAGTGCAGATAGCATAGTTGCACTTACAACATATTGAATCGTGCAGTTGCAAATAAAGGTGCCCCTGATTCCTGATGTCGTAGTGCAAGTTGACAAAGTGTAGCTCAGGTATTCCCAGGCACAGTGCACTTGAGAACTTTTGTCTGATAATTGGTCTTAGCTAATAGACCAAAACTTTATCTGCTTTCCATGTGTTACTATTACTTGCACTTTTTGTGCTGTTGTTTATTATTAGATCAACATCTTATAATTAATAGATTGATTAATTAAGTAATTGATTAATTACTATAATTAATACACAAGAGACAGATGCAAGAGACAGATTTCAGTGCTTCTTTTTTCTTGGGGGGTCTATTTATGTATTTCATTTATTTCTCTATTTAGATCCCAGATAACTGGCACTGTTACAATTTGAACTGTCCTGTCAATTTTTCTTTGTATTTATTTCTACATTTTATTGTAGATCCCTGACGACTGGCAGGGTTACAAGCTGGACCTGTTCTGTATCCCCAAACACTATGAAGATGATCTGGAGGATATTATGATTCCTTCAGGACTTATAGATGACAGGTGATTGAATTACAGCTACAATATATATATATATATATATATATATATATATATATATATATATATATATATATAAGTGATTGAGGGAATATTGGCAAAAATCTGTTGACTTGGGTGAACTGTACAACTATAGTCATGAAATATACTGTGAAATAGTTTTTCAGTGTCTCTTGTGTAGAATTAAATTAGTTTGTAAAAAAAATAATGTTTCAAAATTAAATACATATCATTTAAATACATAATATATGTAATAAATAAATACATAAATTAAATACATATCATTTAAATACATAATATATGTAATAAATAAATACATAAATTAAATACATATCATTTTCATATTTCGACTTGCAGAGTGGAGAGACTGGCGCGGAATATCTGCCAAGACTTCGGCCATGCTGACCACTTGGTGGCGCTGTGTGTGCTGAAAGGAGGCTACAAATTCTTCGCAGATCTACTGGACAAGATAAAACAGTTAAACAGGAACATCGAACATTCAGTGCCCATCTCCATTGACTTTATCAGGGTTAAGAGTTATGTGGTAAGGACAGTCAAATTTATTCCAAGATTCAAAATCGTATTTGCTTTATACCAGCAGAAAAGTGTTTTGATTAATTTTATTGTTGCCTCATATTTTAGCCATCTGTGGCCATGTTGTAATGATTTTGATAATATTTATTGATTGACTTATACGATATATATCTATTTACTTACTGCCATTGTTCCCCATAGGATGACCAAACAAGCGATGAAGTTCAAATCCTAGGAGTGGATAACCTGGATAATATCACAGGAAAGGTATATCTTTTGGTTATAAATGTATATGGGTCACTTATAATTTATTCGGACGAATTGCCAGTAATTTTAAAGATGGATACCTCCCCTTCCCCCTTGGTGATCCAACTTGTGAAATGGCGTATAAGCTAGATAAGATTTTGGTTCAGGATGCATTTTCAGCATTCAGCATTTTCTACCACCACCCCCCAACACACACACACACATACACACACACACACACACAAACGCGCACACACACGCACTTGTGCTATTATAACCAAGGTTCACCATATCTAAACTTACCAATCAGATCTGTAAGCACATTTGAGTTCAGTCTATTTCTTTAACATTATTATGTGAAACTCGCTGCGTTGTGTGACAAACCTCATGTTAAGCTGTGAGATGTTCCCTTCAAGAGGTGATGGAAAATTACCAATGACTAGAAAGAATATATATTAAACATATTATTGTATCTCAGATTGTAAAATATACGTTTGTTTCGTATGTTTCCAGGATAAGGAAGGTACTTCCTAAAAAATTCCAAAGCTAGAAAAAATTAGTATTAAAACTAAATGCTGAAGACCACATACAAGTCTGAATTCACTTTATCTGTTCAACATTTTCTATGTATAGTTTACTGCTCTGTAACAGTCAAGAGATGATGGAGAATTACCATCAGGTAGAAAGTATGTATATAAATCAAATATTTTAGTGTGTCTCAGATTGTAAAATATCGGTTTGTTTTGTCTATTTTCAGAATGTGTTGATAGTGGAAGACATAGTGGATACAGGGAAGACAATGGAAAGGTTACTAAAACACCTAGAACAGTATAAACCCAAGAGGGTTAGGGTCACCAGGTACTGCTGGAAAAAACGTTTTCAAGTTAGCAAAATTAGTTTTACAAAATGTCAAAGACAGTATGCTGTGATTTGAGTTTTAATTTTTGATCATGAGCAAGTATTTTATTTTATTTTATTCTAGCTGTTTTGTCAGGAAAGAAAAAAAGCAGAAGTTAAACACAGAAAAGACCATGTACTTTGACTCAAGTAATTTGTATAGATCTTGAAGAATTCAATTTAGGTAATTTTGTGAAAGATGAATTTTGTCAAAAAAAAAAGTACAGAGAAATGCATATATAACAAAAGGATTATTATTTTGTATTCAGTTTATTAGTAAAAAGAACCAAAGGCAGCACAGGATACAGACCAGATTGTACGTAACTATGGTAACTGTTACTATAGTAACACTAACAATCATGTATATCATGAATTATTCATTACTTGAAAAACAAAGTTATATTTAGTTATTTACTATACTGAAGATTTGTACCATTATATCGGTAATGTTTAGTTGGACTTCATTCCAAATATGTTAGCAAATTTTTTCCAGACCATAAAACTAGTTTTACTCTGACATACACTTGGGAAAACTAACAAGCGTCACAGGTTTAATAATGAAAAGTGCATCTGATTTCTTGTAAAATGATGCTAATTGTGGCCCAGGGCATTTTGCTAGACAAAGCGTAGCTAAGATTACTGAAGAGAGAAAATCCCAATAGTGCAAGATCCTAATTGACATCAAATGCAATAAATTAAAGTGGTACAAGATGTAGAAGTCATTTATAAAATATTTGGAGAACAGATTTCGGTTGAAATAGTAAGCAGAGAGACTTCTAAATTCCAAGTTCTTTAATATCTCTGAAAATTGCTGCTTTCATTGCAATTTGTTTTCAAGAAAAAAAAATCAAGTATCACTTTGTGGTGTGCAATCTTCTTGAAAATTAATTACTATTAATAATAATTTATTGATCACACATTGTCTCATACTATTATTTGTGTTATACATGTGAGCAATTAAAATCCAAAAAAAAAACAAAAAAAAAAAAAAAAAAACTATAGACATTGAATATAGATTCCACTTAATGAATCATTATCTGTTTTCAATTTTATGGAGTTTTTTCTTGACAATGTCATTTGCTGTGGTACATTGTCATGCTTATTTATGTATTAGTACATACTTGGAGTTAATTTATTCGTTTCAGATATAGGCTTTGAGATACCATGTCGGTTTGTCGTAGGGTACGCACTTGACTATAACGAGCATTTCAGGGACCTAGGGGTAAGTGCTTCATTCGTGGATGTGCAGTGTGTGTGTGTGTGTGTGTGTGGGGTTGGGGGGGCATGGGGGTTAGAGAGGGGTACTT